TTGATTCTTAGGGAAAAATTGATTATCATTATAAGGGTGAAAACCCAGCAATTAAAATGTCTGATGCCTAAGATGCCAAGATTTGGCAGGTCCTAAATGTTGCCCAGGCAAAAGCTGTATTACTGAAAGTACTACACCGCCCAGGAATCCATTGGAAATACAGCTTTATTTCTGGAATTACAATTTGACCAGAGCAATCTGGCAATGCTGCACCATTCAAATTAAGAAATTATATGGTTTGGGGTATGGCAGATCCTACTAATTAATTAGTCAACACTTAACCTGTAAGTTAATGTAGGGAATATTCTACTTATTATATAACAAACAGTATGTTCCTTATGAACATATGATCATTTCCCTTATGAAACTTCAAGATTAGAGGTATGTGATAATATTTTTCTAGCTCTGATGCTTATATTCCTTGCTATATATACTTGTGAAAAAATGAATTACACTATTACAAACATACACAAAGTCAAAGGGGAAAATATCACATGAGAATACCCTACTATTCCTCTGAGAATATTTAAATGTCAGCTCTTTGGTACATCTGACTTTATACTACAGTAGCCAATTCATCTTCTTACATGCTCCAAGTCCTTGTGATTACCTTGTGCCTTTGCCTGAGGATAGGAGCTCCAACTTGAGAAGCTACACATGGCTGTAATACTGAAAACAGGAAAAAAGGACATCTCCGGTGATCTCAGTTTATCAGCAAACTCATACGTGCATGCCAGGTTTGACCCATGGCACAGAGTTCTCCTTCCATTTATGCTGAGCCTGCCAAGCAAAGTCGGGAACATTAAAAGAAGAATTACCTCATCTAAATTACACGTGTGTAAGTGACATTTGTCCAATTGAAATTTGTTTTCTAAATTGAACAGAAAGTCACCATTCTTCACAGTAAGTCATTCACCTTATTCCAACTTACAAGTAAATTACCACCTTACGTGCTCTCTCAGTTCTGCAGAGGGAGGGTGATTAGTTTAAAATAGATTGGTTCTCCATGAGTGAGTGGAATTAGGTGGGAAGAACCCCTTCATTCCTGACTGTTATTAGATTGATTCATAGAGGAAATAGAGCAGCCAAAAACTACAGTAATAACAGCATCAGTCTTTAGTGACCACAGCCTCTTATGAAAATAATTAATCCAGTTAACCCAAGGCTACCCTTGTAGAACATGCGTATTTTAAATTCTTCCAGAGGCATTTTACTTTTAATATTCATACACATGATCCCAAGTGCACAGCAGTGTCATATCTCCTCTGTCTCTCAAAGGAAACACTCTTCTGTTCTCTGGGTCTTCTCTCTGTGGCTGCTTTAAGTGTTCCACTCTCCCTGATGGCCCTTGATGCTTCCAGCAGAGCAAGCAGAAAGCCAACAGGAAACTGTAGCATTTGCAACCAAAAGCTGAGGTTTGACTGATCAGAAGCGCTAGCAGCCTTCTGGTTTACTTTCAGCCACACTAAGTTGATCAGCAGACAGAAAACAAAGAAGGTACATAATTTACAAAGCTGCTTCTAGCTAATAATAGTTCATGTCTGGAGTTGGTTTTATAGGGTACTTTGCAATCCCTAATTAGCCTTTTCTATCAAGCCTTTTATATATAGTGGTATTGGTGTGAATTACTTAGGTATATGTCATGATGCCAAATTCAATTAGCTTGTGAGAAACAAGGAGAAACCTGTCAGAAGTGAGACCACATGGCAAACCACTTCCTAACTCACAGCATTTCAGCCAAAAGTTTCTGACTGAATGAAGGGGATCTCAATTATCAAACTCTTTATAAATGTCTCCAAAGAAGCACGGAATCAGACGCAGATGTCTTGCTTACACCCATATAAATATTTAAGATACACAGGGGAATTTTCTTAATTAAGGAACTCAACCTGCAACAGTACCAGCATTTGTACAGTCCTAAAATAACACAGTTGAAATCCACACATGGAGTTTTCAGGAATTACTGAAGATCAGTGTTAGGCCTTTATGGTAAGTGAGGAATACCCGGGGACTTCCAGCAGCAGGCAGCAGATCTGAAAGAGCCCTTCAAAGGCTGCAGGACAGAATTACTTTTTCAAAGGGTTGTAATTTTCTGAGATATAGATAAATAGAAGTATGGTTGTTTTGATAGAATTTTAGTTCCTACTGCTCTTTTAGAGAAAGAAGATGATTTAGTTGAAGATCCCAGAAATTCTCCTGAGAGACAACCTTGTTGTGGAAACATTAATTAATTTTTTGATTTTGAGAATAAAATAATAAATTAAATTTCCCTGTTTAAGCATTATAGCCACCCTAACTGAGAAGTTGAGTCAACACCCCAGGAGCTCTGGCAGAATCCCATGCTTTCTGCATCTACATTGCTAATAGTAACAGCAGTAAGTTGGGTAAGTTTTGAGGAGCTGCACTCATGATCATAAATGGACCTTGCAGACTTGCCACATAGCCAACAAACTTGACATATTTACATTACAGAATGAGACAGGCTAAAGTAAATATGTTTTGGTTGGATGAAAAGTCTCACTTGTTCATGAACAAATGTTATATAAACAGATGAAGAAGCGTATCTGTGGTCCTCAATGACTGCTTGAAAGATATATTTCATAAGACTGTAAAGAATCATTAATGAGCAACAATGCAGAAAGCTACAAAATATTCTAACTAGAGAATACATTTAAAAGTGTTTAAGTTGCATTTTTCGCTTTAGAAACTAACAGGAATAAGCACTAACATGAATATTTCAACAATTTAAACAAACTTTAACAATAAAGCTTGTTCACAGTAAGAATGCTGTGAAAATTCCTGGCTTTTTGAATGAGGCATGAGAAAAAAATAATGCTTCAATGAGAATTTTTCATTTATCGAGTAAAAGAATTCTTACTACAACCAGAACTTGGGGGTTGGTTTGTCTGGATTTTTGTTGTTGTCATTGTGTTAGTTTGGTTTTGTTGGAGCTTTTCTGGAAAAACATAACCAAGTAACTATCCATCCATATACTTGGCACCATTTTTCTCTCTCTTTCCCTGAGAGAATAAACCTGAGCACTTTAAAATAGTCAAGTGTTTTTATTATTTATAAAGAATACTGAAAAAATGAATGAATCAACAGACAGACTTGAATAGAAAAGAAATATAGACTATATGTTGGCATTGGTTGCATATAAATGGGATATACATTGAATATATAGTAACGGCACACATCAGAATAATACTTAACTCAAATTTTGTACGTACATTACATTATGTGACTTCATACTGCACACATTTCCTAAGTTTTATATTTGTTTATGTTATGTGTAGTAGATATAATTTGCACCATTTCTAATATGATATATGTGATATTGAATATTTGTTAAGAGTATACATGTTTGTATTAGGATTCCCCCCCCCCCCACACACACACACACAGGCGCAGGTGAGACCGGGTGTAGATTGGAAACTGATTTACAAGTAAGAAGGTACAGCTCGCCAGGAGATGGGCCATGGCTGGGGAGATACAGAAACCCCAGCTGCTGATCGTTAGCGTGAACGACCCGAGATGGATATCATGGAAATCCTGAGGCAGATACATGTGAATACAACGTTCCCGTAAATTTCATCAAAGGATTCAAGGATTCAACAAACTCCGGACAGTGATTTGTTCTCCCTCATCACCAAAAAGGAAAATCTTATTAACATATGGACTCTGAATAGAAGAAAAAACTGATTGCTGAAATCTTGGCCTCAGGCAGAATTTTCCCTATGAAAACCGCTTGTGCCAAGATGGAGGGGTGTGGGCATGGAGGAAAACCTCTGCTGAGGCTGACTCCTTGTCGCACACCCAGGGCCGACCCCGGGCTCGGCTCTGTTCTTTCCTTGTGGCTGGCTAGATAGAATTTGCAAAATAAATAATTTATTTTTCATATTAATTTGGCTGGACAAATTTTCATTTATAACAGTTTATATGGTTTATATATGGTTACTTTATTTTGTGGAAATATCTTTCCTGTGACAGCCTGGTGTGCTCCAGGCCTGCCAGGTTTGGTGGCAGCTTCCCAGCCCCATCACTGAGGAGGGACTGGATTCAGAGCCCAGATTTCCTGCCCAACGCAGGCAGCTGCTTGTGGAGGAGCAGAGTTTCCCTTCGTAAATCTTAGCAAGGTTTGATTTCAGCAATCATTGCATGCATCCCCCAAACCCAGGTACATCTATGGAAGTCGGCCTCTTCTCCCAGGCAAATAGCCATAGGATGAGAGGGCACAGTCTTAAGATGCACCACAGTTGATTTAGGTTGAACAGTGGGAAGAATATCTTCAGAGAAAAGGGGATTATGGGCTGCCCGGGAGGTGGTGGAGTCACCATCCCTGGACGTGTTTAGGAAAGACTGCATGTCTTTCCTTACAGTGCCATCGTTTAGTTGGTATAGTGGTGTTCGGTCACAGGTTGGATTCGATGACCCCAGACGTCTTTTCCAACCTCAGCTTCTGTGATTCTGTGTGTCAGCTTGCTTGTACAGTTACCCGCGTTCAGAGGGAGTGAGCGTCTCCCAGCCTGAATGACCATTTCCTTCTCAACAGAAGTGACAAGTGTTTTATTATTTGGAAGGAAGCCCTCACTGTCCAGGGCCCGGTACGGACCGTGGGCGGCAGAGACCCTCGCCCAGTTCCCCATTCACGGAGCACAGTCCCCAGGGGTCTCCGCCTCTCCGCCCCCTCAGCTGCGGGCTCGGGCCGAGCGCTGTGGGATCCCCTTGAACCCGCCGGGAGCCGCCGCATCCCCGCGGCGCCGCGGGGCGGGGAGCGAACGCTGGGGCCGCCCGCTGGCGGCCGAGGGGAAGCTGCGGCACCTCGAGAGGGGCGCCGGCTCCGCCCCGTGTGCCGGGGGGCGTGGGGCTGTTCCCGGCCCCGGCGGCGAGGACGGCGGCGGCGGCAGCGGCGGGGTCCGCGTTGGCCGCCGGCGGGGACCCAGTGCTGCCCCGCCGCGCCCGCCCGCCCCATCGCACGCTGTTGTCATGGAGGAGCCAAGATGGCGGCGCTGGCCTACACCGGGGGCAAGCGGGAGATCAACTATTACTTCAGCGTGAGGAGCGCCAAGGTGCTGGCGCTGGGCGCCGTCCTGCTCCTCACCGCCTGCCACACCGCCTCCCGCCGCTACCGAGGTGAGGGGGCGGCCGCGGGCGCTCCGCGGGGGGCCGCTGCTGCCGGGCAGGGGAGGCGGAGCCCCGGCGGAGCTCGGGCACCGCGGCCGTGCAGGGAGGGCAGAGGGTCCCTCCGCCCGGGCAGCCGCGGCCGTCTGGGCAGCGTGGGGCGGCGGGTCACTGACTGCCGAGGGACGCGGCCCCGGAGCCCTGCGGGCCCGGCCTGGGGGTCGCCGCGGGCCCGGCCGGTCGGGCGAGGCCCCGCGGAGTGAGGGGGGCGAGCGCGGCTGTCGGGGCTGTGGCTGTGCGGCGTTTGCGCTGAGAGCTCGCCGCAGCTCCGGGGCCCGGCCTGCGGCAGGTGAAGCGGCAGGGGTAGAGGGTGACTTCTTCCCTGTCACTTGTTTCCGTACGGCATGATTAATGGCTAATTACCTAGCAATTAGTGGTTAAAGGCTTAATTGGCACGAGATCTGGTATATATTGTTTCACTCGTTGAACCGTCGCCTCAGACCTAACGAAGCCGGCCGCGCTGGTGGAGGAAGCGCAGTACGGAGCTGTGCGGCTTCACGCGTTGTCGGGGCCGCGGACAGGCTCCGGGCACCGAGCGAGCTGGTGTCGCTGCGGCGTGACCGGCTGCGCACGGGCGCGCCTCGGATACGGGGCGCTGGCAGCTCTGCTCGTTCCTCCTCGCTAGGGTTGTTTTGGCCCTGAAGCGGAGAAACTTGGCATGATCCCTACATGCAAATGCAGTCGCTGAAGGATATATTTACTTGTTTCTGTGTCACGCTGAAAAATGTGGTATGTTTTTGTGGGTAAATGAAAAAGATGATCTGTAGGGAGATGACCGCGGCTCTGTTGTAGCCCAACTGGTCGCTTGGCTGCCAGCATTTTTGGGAGACAAGGCTGAGCGAGGCAGTTCATTGTGGAAATGGAAAAAGGGGTAGAGATCTTTATGTTTAAATTCCATCTAGCTGGCATGTCGCTAAGTCTGATAAACTGTCTAGTATTAAATTGGAAGACTTGGAAGCATTTACTGAATTCTAGAGTATATCAAGCATGACATAATTGAGCTTGCCTGTTGTGCAGTGTTCCTTAAGGCACAAAAGAGTCACAAAACTAGACGGAAGGAGGGTGGCAAATTTTTAAAGAGGGATTGCAAGACTAAGCAAATGGGGACTGACATATCAAGCAGGTTGTAAGGAAAATAAAATATGCATAGTTTCAGTATATTCTGTGAGAGTTAATGAGGGGGTGAGTCTCATTGCAAAATGGTGATAATCTGCTAGCCTTTATGTAAATGTATATAGTCACTATGAATTGTTACAAACCTTTCAAGTTTTTTCACCTAAGGCTTTTAGTTCCTTGAAGCAGTTAAAGGGTAAGAGGTTTTCCCATAAGTGTTTTAAAGGCAGGAGGACATGGAGTCATAGTGAAAACAGACTTACCAATTTGGGCTTCTCTGAACATAAAATGTTTAAAAGAGAAGTTCAGAAAAGGAAGGTGGAAAAATTACAGCAAATGAATATTTAGGATAGGTAAAAGTGGAGGTGCTTTCATTGAAGAAATCATTCTGCAAACCTCTATTGATATCAAACAGTTGAAATTCAGCAAATGCCACAATACTTTTGACAAGTAATGAAAAAAACAGAGGTTTTCACTAATAGTGCACAGCTAAAGTTCACTGGCACCTCACTTATTCTCAGTGGTGTTGGTTGCCCACTCTTAGTAGTGGTATAATAGAACTTGGAAAGTGTGTACAAAAGAGCAACACAAATGGCAGAAGAATAAAACAGCTTCTCTATGAGAAATAATGTACTAAATTCTCTAGCCTGGACAGAAACCTTGTAACTTCTTAATGTTCTCAAATGTTAGGAATTATTGAGGGAAAGTGAATTGATTTTTGCTGTGCCATAACACAAAAAGTATCAACTGACAAATGAAATAAGGTAATAAGTTTTAAAGGATCACAAGAAAGCGCTTTCTTTTACACATAAGACATTTTACACCAAGATTTTTATATCAAAATATCCAAAAAGACTTATCCTGATTTCCAGAGGGTGTATGAGGTAGGGCTGCAAACAGGTTCAAAGTTGCCAGGCTGTGAAAGCCAGGCCGTGTCACGTAAGTGATTGCTGTGTTTGTTGTGCTTTTATACTTCCCCTTTTATACTTTCCTGTCTGGTTGTCATTACATGTAAAGATTTTAGCTAATTTTGGCCACAGCCATGCAAGTACATATTACAGATAGGAGCAGCCCAGTATACTTCCAGTCAAACTTGCTTGTATAAAATTTACTTGTTTGAAAAAAATGTTGAACTGAAGTTGTGGAAGGTCAGGTTTATGTTCAGGAAGACTGTTGTATTTAGGGGTCACCTGTATTTTTTTACAAAAGAATGTGAATAAAGAAGGTACTGTCCGTCTTTAATTTGGGAAGAGTTAAGTGGGTTGAATGTTTACATACTATCCAGTGAAGTTAAAGCTTTGTGTTTTTCAGTTCTTATATTTCAAAGATACAGTCCTAATCATTTTGGAAATAAGAATTCACTTAAAATTTTGCATTCTTAAAATCAATAGTATTAGACTGTTTAAAACTACATTTTTTACTTTGAATAATAGAGAACAATTGAATTTCCAGCTCTTTGAGAGTATGTATTTTAGAGAAAGCTTTGTGAATTGTAGTCTGCTCTGCTGCTGAATGAAGACTTTGAGATTTCACCATTTCAATTGAATTACCATGATTTTGAGGAATGATAAATTAGAACAATGAACATTTAAAAATTCAGAAAAATTATACACTTTGTATAACTATAATGTGGATCTAAGTGAGCATAAAAGTTAATGTGTTGTAAGGATAATTTACACAAACAAAGAGTTTACAAAGAATGGTCTGTGTTTTGTGTATACAACAGCACTTAGAATTCTTTTTCTTGTGTTTTGGGTTGGTTTTTTTGGTTGGGTTTTTTGTTGTTTGTTTTTTTATTTTAAGATCTCATTGATGGTTAAGAAATTGTGGTGTATTAAAATGAGCATAATTCTTTGGCTGCTATTTCACCTGCTAAATCTGGAGTTGAGCTTTTCTGGAGGTTTTACTGTCTGGTTTGTAACCTCCTCTTTACTTTCTTGGCTGCTGTTTCAGTTTTGTTTTATTCCCCTGCTTCATCTTCTCCCCTTATTTTCTGCAGTTATGTTTAAGGGAAGACATCAAACTTCAGTAAGAGCTTGAATGCATTTCAGGAGCTTTCTAATATTGCTCAGGGCAGTAGTAAGATAATCAGTACCTGGAGCTGGGAGAGAAGGCATAACCTCTTGACATGCATTGTCTCTATGTGTGAAATGTATAAAGTGTGTGATGTTGGGAATGTTACTTCAGTGAAGGTACTGTAGGATGAAGGGTTGAGCTATTCATGGGCAGTTATTGTGGAGGGAGTGCCATGGAGTACAGAGATACTGAGCTTGCAAGGCTCATTACCTCTATGTGAGGACATCATCCAGTCTTGAAAACCTGATTGAGAAAGAAGTGATAGTTGTCTACAAACCATGACAGATGTAAGTCCAAACTGCCTTGTCCCATTGAAGAACCCCAAGTAAATCTAGTAGAATCCGTATTTCAGATAAAGGCAGATGATTCTTCAAGCATCAACTCTGGATATAGAAAACTCTAGGACTGCATGTCCATTTCAGTAAATCCTTGGAATGAACATAGTTGGGAGAATATTAGATGAGAATATAATGTTTATTTGCCCTCTTCTTATTTATCTCTGAGCATCTGCTTTCTGTCCCTGTTGAAAACGGAATACTAAGCCAGACTGACCATTGGTCTGACCATGAATAACTGTCCTGATTTTCTTACACATCTTTCTCAGCAAGTTAATAGATGTCAGAGTGAGCTTGATTAGTGGTGGATATTCTTTTACAAAGTTCACTCTTATATCATTTTCATATATCTGCAAAGTGGAGGACTTCATATCAGTAATAACTTTAAACCACCTCATTATCAAACTCACGTTGCTTTTGGTTAGATAGGTTTTTTATTGTTCCTGACAGTTTCATTTTTTATGCAGCTTACTTGAAATTATAGTTTGCATGAGTTTGCAAGTTTTAGAATCAGAGAAATTGTGTTGCTTGTAAACCAAGGCATGAGCTGAATTTAATGAACTGAAGGAGGTTTCACAGAAAGTATTAGGTAGGGGCAGTGGTACATTGTTTCTGCCCAAGCTAGAACAAGTCCCTACCATTTCATTCACAACCGTTTCCCTGTTTGTCAGTGCTCAGAAATGCCAAGTATGACAAAAATGTTGGAGGGCAACTTCTCTTGCAGTGAATGGGTTTAGTTGTGTTCAATTATAAAGCAGCAGAATCTGACATGGAGTTGGGAAGATAACAGTCACTGATTTTGTAACTGAGATATTTGAAATTTAACATGACCTAGAACATCAGCACCTGTAAAGTGATTAATCTTAATTAGCATAAAGCTTATTGACTAGAAGAGATAAGTGTAATTAAGAATGATTAGAAAATTGATATGTAAATGTTTGGGGTTTATTTTTTGTGTATTAACCCATATCACCTGTTCTAAGGTGATCACATGGCCGTATGTCTTAAACAAGGAGACATAACAGACTGTCTTGCAAACCTTGTGATGAGTTTTTTGTTCTATACAAGATGCTGTGCATGGTGATTCTGTGTAGATTACTTTATTCAACAGTTGTATTCTTTAATTTCATATTAGTGTATTTGGGTTAGTAGATAGTAGAGTGGATTGGTATCTCTTAAAGGAAATGCCATTCTAAGTCGCAACATCTTTCTGACAGCAGAGGTGGGATCACTAACATTTTGTGGATGGGGTGGGATTTACTCAACAGTATTTTATAATGAGTGAGAAGGCAACTTGCAGAAACTTGTGCAAGATGTATTTACAATCAGTTAAATTTATTTGCTGCTGTTTATTATTTCAATTTCTGTTTTTTCAGATGTCAAATTATTTTTTATAATAGCAACAGGGCTGTGTTTTACATTTCATGTGTCTGAATTCTAATCTTAATATAACATTTCAAAGGTGGTGATACATGTGAGTATCTTCTGTCCAGTGGGAGATTTCTTGGAGAAAAAGTATGGCAACCTCACAGTTGTATGATGCATAAGTATAAAAATAGGTAAGGAAACTCATGTCTTCTGTTTATCTGGAAAGAAGAGTCGTTGTTTGACTGCAGCTGTAGTAATTGCTGTAATTGTAGTAATAGTGTCATCTATTGTTCACTTTATGTCTGATTCTCTAGGCTTTCAAAAATATACACCATTTATGAGAAAGAAGTCTTTTCCAAGTACTTTATCTGTGTGTCTACAGTGTTTACCCTAGTTGTATTTCTGTATAAAAATACAAATAAATGCTGGTGATGGAGGTACTGGCACAAGTTATGGAGAGCCACATGAGGCTGCATATGTCTCAGATTGCTGACCTTATGTGTCAAATTGCAAGTAAAAATATCCCAAATAAAATTACCTATCACTTTTTTCACCTCCTAGTAAGAGAACTCTTTTTTTTTTTTGAGTTATGCTGTATATTACCATTTTGAAACAACTGTATTTGTAGCACACATAGAAAAACCTGCTTAGTTGTTTCCCTAATCACATTAGCAGGAGAGTTCATTTTCAATTCTGTGTAAATTGCAATAAACTGTTTAATTTTTTTTAAACATACTGAATTAATAATAATGCCTTAGAGCTGGATATAATGTTTAGAGTTATCTACATAACTCTGTAGATTTTGAGAATACTTCTTTCTAAGGTACGTATTTTCTGTAATGTTGCTGTTTTGTTTTACAGTGAAGCAAAAAATTGCCTCATAGACAAACATGTTGTGTTTATAGGAGATTCTAGAATTCGACAGCTGTTCTATTCATTCATAAAACTGATAAATCCTCAAGTCAAAGAAGAGGGAATTAAGGTGAGATAGCTTGTTTCTTTATTCCAAATTTACCTCATAAATCTTGTCTGAACTTTAAAAAAGCAAATTATATATTGCTGGCCTATCCATATGAAAGGAAAAGCACAGAAAGGTCTTTTGAAGAAGAACAAGATTAGACCAAAATAATTGTTTGGGTACACGTGTGATAATTGTAAATCTGAGAAAAGAACTGGAAGTTCAAGAGAAAGATTGCAGCAGCCTTGGAATAAATTAATTAAACTGACTTGTCCCATAGCAATTTGTGCTTTGTATTTGGTTTCTTCATGAGAAAATGATTGCTCCTTTGTGTGTTTTTAAATAGTAGTAATTCATGCCTTCTAATTTGTCATTTAAAATGTCAGTTAAATTGCTGATCTAATCTGTTAATAAAAATCCTTGGGGCAATGACAGATTTCCAGGTTTAACTTGAAGCTTAAACTAAAAATATCTTCAGGTCTCATCTTCTTTTTGATCCCTGATGAAGAGCTGTCTGAATTTTATAATGTGAAGTATGTAAACTGCAGCCAGGTGGAAGGAGGAAGAAAGGATTTAGGTGTATCGTTTGTTGAACAGAATGCTGATTTATTTTGTTCTATGATACCTGTTAGCACATGTCTTCATAGATGTATGTACATACGTGATGGAAAAGACACCTTTCAACTGTACATCAGATTCGTCAATTATTTAGTAATTCTGTCACTTAAAAGTGCAAGCTGTCAGCTTGTCCAGCATACAGCATGCAATCACTTCCACTTGTAAAAAAAAGATGTTTGATCTAAGAACTCTGGTTTTCCTAGTCAATTAGTTATGCTGCCCAAAAGTAATGGTGTGGTGATAGAATGCTGTAATGGATTTTGAGTTGAGAGTATTTTTTGTCAAGTGTTATTGAAATCAAGATCTCAGTTTGAAAAAGAGAAGTACACTTGTTCTTACGGACCAATACCAAAATGAATACGATATTTTATAATTTTACAGGACTATTGTATATGCATATCTGACTCTCCTTTCTGGTTTCTTACAATTTTCACTCAGAAAATTTTATTTTATTATTATTATTAGATTTTATTTCTGCCTGAGATTTTTTTTCTTTTATTCTTTAATTAAAACTGTGTTGGTTGTTTTGTGTAAAGGAGATGGGCAGATGAAAAGGCTGGAAAAAGGCAGTATAAGAAAAGAAGGAGGAAAAGTCATAAGTTTTTCTTATGTTGGAAGGCTAAATTTAGGAAAACATTTGATACCTTTGTAACAGAGTGAGCAGAAAGCATTTCAGACTTTGTTGGCTAGATTGCTTCCAGGAAAAATAACAGTTTATTTTAGTAGCTTGTTTTATCAAGAGAGCAACATAAATATTTTGCGTGAGTATGCTGACAAGTTTATACAAGAAAAATCCTTTCAGTTGAAGATAAATATTGCAAGTTAGCATAGGTATGTAAATATTTTCATTCTGAAAGTTTTTCTTACTTTGTTTTTACTGTTTTGGGGTTTTTTGACAGCATGGAAATATCCCATTTGAAGATAAATCTGCTTCAATTAAAGTGGTAAGTTTTTATCTAGTGTTAAATTGCAAACCATAATCATATTATTATTTCATACAATATAATTGAAAATGCTGTCAGAGCTGAAAGTTAAAAGAAAGTTAAGACAATTGACATTCTTTATAAATGTTTCACAGTGCATCTTAGTGTACTATATTTTAAGAGAATTTGGCATGGAGTACTGGTATTGTGGCTTAGTTTTGGACATAAGCTCTGGAACTGTGTATAATTTTTGTCAGATCTTACAATTTGGCCTTTCCAAGCATACCCTTTGCCAGGAAGTTTGCTCTTTTCATGCTGTAAAAATATATATCTGAGTCTCTTTGGATTGGTAATTTTTAATTGCCATTGAGTTTTCTATGCTAGTTCGACAAGTATTCCTTCCACTGTTTTTGCATGCAGAAATAAGCACAATGTCGATTATAATGTGGATATTTTAAAAAAGAAAGTACTTGAGTCTAGTTTTTCTGAAGGACTCTGTTCTCCTCTGCCCTGGCAACAGAGATGCTGTCCTCAGTAGTTTTCTTTGCTTCCCATGACAGCTGTCAGCAGTGCTGGCATTGTGCTAGTCATGTATTTATTTATGCCCTGAAGAAAACTCATTCTCTATTCACCAAAACCAAAGCAGCAGTGTGTTTGCTGAGTTGTCTGAATGTGGATTTTCAGTACTTGTTTGTGTACATGGTTAAGATTTAGGATACAGAATAACATTTTAGGGTGATAAGTCCATAGCAATTTAAGCATGTGCTGACCTACTCTGTTGGGCCTCACAGTATGTTCCTGTGTTTGTGCTGTAACTAGCACAGGTAAGCTGTGGAGTGGGTTGTTTCAGGAGTCAATTCAGCCAAAAAGTTACTTTGTAGGATTCCTTTTCAGTCACCTCTGATGTGCTCCATCCTGTAGTTATCAGAATGCTGGAAAAGATGGGACGGAACACAAGGCCAGGAGGAAGGGGTTGATGCAGTGTGATTTGCATTGGGCTAGCCTGACAGAGTCACGTCTTCAAAACTGTTTAACCACCAAGATTTGAGATGGCAGGTGTGGGCTTTTGGGAGATGTCTGATAGTCAATATATTCCCAGTCTGCCGCTTCCTTGTTTTGATGCAGTGTTGGTCTTTGACATTATTGGCATGGTAGCTGAATTTCCATATTCAGACTGGCTGTGACCCAGTAGTCCAAATGTGGAAAATACTTGACCATCAAAAGAGAAGATTACTGGGAACAAGTGGAGAGTTTAATTCTGCCCTTTCTATTCATCACAGTAACTCTTCTGTCCTTCAACCGCTGTAGAGGATTGCATGATTGCTCACAGGTTCCGCAGCCAAATAACAAATTGACAGTACTCAAGCGAACTACCAAAATGTAACAATCCAGAGGAGTGGAAGATAGAGATTTCCTCTCTGCTGATAGTGTTTCAGCATTCTGTTACAAAGTTTTCTCACAATAGTTTCTGCTTGTGTAGCCCCTGCCATTTCCCTTCATCATGTGCTTTTAGGCTATTCAATAGTGCTGTCCTGAGTGGTAACTAAATGCTAGGAAGTCATGGCTTTCCCTGGGAGATATGAAAGCACTAGTCTATATGTCCTTCTAGATGAAAGCTTAGCACTGCTCCAGCAAGCTAAAAGAATTGTTAGGTTTTGATTTTGCTTGAAAATTATGATTTCATGCTATCAATTATTTTAAGCTTTGAAACAAAGAAAATCTGCTAGTAAGGATGTGGAAAACTGAGCGAAAAGTAAGTTCTAATAAGTTACAGATGTGACCTTATGTGGATTTATCCCTGATTGCAGTAGAAACCCAAGGACATCTCATTTGTCAGACATTAAAGAAATACCTTTGTGAAATTCCAACTCCTGAACTACAAATAAAAATTTGGTTTTTATGAGGGAAAAGTTTTGTGGATTTGTTGGCTTCTTCTGCTCTTTTTTTTCTTTGCATTCTGTTTTCCATGCTGGAGTAAGATATCAGGCTGTTCATGCTAACTATAAGACTCTGAGGCAAATGTTTTTCCTTTACAGTTGAATTTATGGCATTTAGTTTGGTTTTTTGCATTTTTTGGTTTTGGTCTACTGATTGTCTTTTAAGCTTGCAGAGTAACTCTGCCTTTTGTTTACAGGATTTTCTGTGGTACCCAGAAGTTAATGGCTCTATGAGGCAACGTATCAAATCTTGGACTGAGGTTTGTTTTAAGAGATATATAATTTGACTTTAAAGTGGTGAAAAGGGGGTGCTTACTGCTGTACACGTTTCTGGGTATCTCCTGATCTTCTGAGGATGTTATCACTTGGACCTTAAAAAACCCCTAAGCAAACTAGAAAAACCCTACTTCATAGGAGCAGGTTAATTAATCCTATTAAGAGCTAAAAGGATTTCAGTCTGGTTTGGCATTTTACTTCCTCTGTGGCTGCAGTGACTCCACTTTAATGTGAACAAATATTTTAATCCTTATGGGTCCATTCCAACTTGAGATATACTATGATTCTATGATTTTGTATATATTTTGTATATTTGAGCATTTCAAAGTGAAGGGCAAAAGTAATTTGCAAAGTCAAGAATTCTTTGATTTTACTTGTTTTCAATGTCTTCCTCAATTAACATACAATTAATTCAGGTGTTTCAGTTATGGTGCAGGCTGTCATGTTATTCTGTGCGTAACTCTGATGACAAGTAATACATTTACAGATTGCTGACTAATTTTTTCTTGTTTCTTCCATTGTTAACCTTTTAATAGCCTGGAGTTATTTAGTAGTAGCTCACAGTGATTATTTTGATATCCTGTTGATCATTCTTGCACAACACTTTCCATCAGGATAGCTGTAGTTATCATTTGGTTTTCTTTTTCTGTGTTATCTACAAAAATTGAGAGCTGCTGGTTTTCCTTGCTGTGCTGGGATAAAACTGGTACTGAGGACTATTTGTTTCCTTGTGCTCTTTTGTTTGAGTACACTGGCCCTTGTCCTTGTCGTACACAGAGCTGTCACGCTCCTCTGGGGTGACAATGGTCAGTGCAGTAGCTCAAGCAGAGGTTTGACAATGCTGAGACTGAGGTAAAAAGTTCAATAGCATGATCTACAGTTTACTTGACCTTAGAAGAGTATGTTTAAATAGCTTTTAAAGAGAGCTTATGCTGTTAAATTGATCAGGATTATAGGTACTTTTTGATACTTCTTGCTTTTGTAGATTCTATTACGTGAAAATTAAGGTATCTTGCATGTATCAGGTGTATGTTCTCTGCATAGATCTGCAATCTACTCTTTTGTAGCCATTAGCTGATGGGCAGGTGAGTCACAGTTAATGAAGATATGAGTCTTGATAATAAATATAATTTAAGAATATTTTAAAACTAATTCCTTTTTTTGTTTGTTTGTTTGTTCCATAGGGTTCTTTGACAAAACCTCATATAATTGTAGTAGGAGCTGCCACGGTAAGTTATACATATATAGGGGATTTTAGTGAAGAAGGAGGTTCTTGTGGGATAACTTTAATGTTCTCAAGTTGGCTACACGATCAAGTCGTTAAACACAGTTTAGAGTAAAATATCTATTCTCAGTGAATTTGCTGTTACAAAAAATTTTAAAGTATCAGGTATGCTTTATTATACCTGTGTAATGTACAATACTTGCTTTTTGTCAGCAATACTGGTTAATAAGCATTAACTTGCTTTAACCTAGCTAATAAAGTGGGTTTAGTTAAAAGCAGATTATTAATTTTAAAAGTTAAATCAAGTATTTGCTTACTAACTGAAGTGTATTTTTAATGCACCTTTTTCAGTCACAAAATTCTACTTTTGAGCATGGCCCAGTTTGGGATGGTGTCTTTCACCACACATATTTCTTTTATATACATATATATGTATAAATAATCATAATTTTACGTGGCTAATTCAGCAATTAGAGAGGTTGGAGTTCTGGAATCTTGTTGTACTGAAAGATTCCACCATTGATATGCATTGCAGCATCACAGAAAGGGCAGCCAAGTACCAGAAGAGGTGTCCTAACCCATCGGTTTACCACCAGGCAGGACATTTCTACCTGTGCTGCACTTGGCAAGAGTCAACCAATTCTTTAAAACTTCCAAGGATGGAATTCAGCAGGCCCCCTTAATCAGTCTGTTCTAATAACAAAGTCAAATCAATCAAATCTCATTATTTCCACATTTAATGTCCCTTACTTCCAAATATTTGGGAATTGGAATTTGGAAAGAATGAGCTAATTTATTTTCAAAGGAGCTGAAATTTGAAGGGGGGGAAATGTGTTGCATTTAAAACAAAGTCCTTCAAATGCAGTTTGTTTTAGAGACAGTTGAGGCACTTCACCAATCTGGAAACTTTTGGGCATGCCCATCTAAGGATGAACTCCCTCAATTTTAAGAGGAGGTCATGTCTCTATGTTGTGCTCCACACATTTCCTGAGAGGCATCAAAAATTCTCCTTTTCCTTTAGGTGAACCCCTAAGTTCCCTTCCTCAGTAGGGTCCACATAAATATTTGAGCTTTAGGAATTCTAGTAAGCCTAGAATGTAGTTTCTCAGTCTGAGACTGTAGCATTTATTACTAGAATTAGTCATTGTATTCCATACAGAAAATGCCATAATATATGGATAATGTTCTGGCATGCAGAAGGTCAGATTGCAAAACTACAGTACATTTAGCTAAATAATTCCCTTTACTCGTATGTATATATTAGCCATAGCTTGTTGCCTTTTGTGGACAGCAGGAGATAGAAACTAACAATATGCAGGGGAGGCTCTGCTGTTTTTATCACTAGTATATTTATACAAAGCATTTAATATGATTATCTGGAGTTGAACAATGATAAACATCCTCTATTTTAAGTGACTTCCAAAAAAATAAAAGCTTCAAAAATCAGATATATCAGCAACCTCATCATAGCTAACACTGGTGTGGTAACCTGCCACTAGGTTAAACTGGTATGTGCTCTTGGACTTTGTTGCATTTTGAAATTTACCTATATATCTTTTAACTTAGCTGTTGGGTTGGTCATGCTACTTTGGCCTGGGCATGTCTGTCTTAAGATGTCAACTGCATAACAGTTTATAAACAGAAGTAAAGTCTTAAAAGCTGAAGGAGCTCCAGCTCATACAAAAGTCAGTTGCTTGCTTATTTTGGGAGAAGGAGCTTCTCTGAGAATGTCACTACTGTGCTCTGCTTCTTAATTCCTGACTTCATGTTGTATGGAATGTGCTGCTTTAACTGTCTGTTAAATTCTGTTGGTGTTTCAAATTAAGTATTTAGCTGCTGGGAAAAACTGCTGCTTTTTTTCCAGTGTGAGTTCTCAGAGCAGCTGTATGTTATTTGGTTTCATGAAGTATTAATTTATATTGAATAATATTTTCAGGAAATGCATTAATCAGTGTACTTGTCTTAGAATGAAATTTTTATGTGGCTCTTTAGAGATAAATAGAGTTTGCTACATTTAGGCTAATTGTAATGGTTTTGCTTTTTGTAGTTTTTACTAAGTCAGTTGAGATACAGTAACACTTTAAAAAAAAGCTGCCTCCATTTTTCATACAGTGGGGGAAATAATTTTCAAAACTTAGGAGCAATTCTTGAGTGGCTATAACATTCTCCCAGGGATTTCCTATAGAAGATTAAACCAGAAATTAAAATTACTCTTGTTCAGTTTTTTGGTTTTTTTTTTTTTCCCTTTGTGGATATCTGCAAAACAGATGGAACTTGATACCACCATCAAGTTTTGTTTGCATGCATCTCTTGCTGTAGTCAGTCTAGAGGGGAATTGATTGAACTGGCCAAGATTTTTCAATAGCAAGACTGCTACTTCATTGCTGGGTAAAACCAGGTGACTTCGAATTAAAACATCTTGTGTCATTTAATTTATGAACAGTCAAATATACACATAAGTTCAATGTTAAATACTCTTTATTTGGATGGTGTGATTGAATAAAATTGTCTCTCTGGACAGCTGCTTGGTCCAAAAGAATTTTTAACACTTTTGAATAGAAAACTGAAGAAATCTAGCTATATAGAAATAATAAAGTTAGCTACAAATGGAGCAAGGGAATCAATTAATCAAGAGTCCTCAGACATACATGTTCTGAATTTATTTCTTTTTTTCTCCAGTGGTCTATCAAGATTCACAATGGCAGCAACGAAGCCCTTGCACAATATAAAATCAATATCACTTCAATTGCACCTCTTTTGGAAAAATTAGCAATAAGTAGTGATGTTTACTGGGTCTTACAAGGTAAAGTAATGAACAGTAGGTAACAATTTTTAACCTCACTGTCTCTGGAATCATTATGCTGTAGGATATTGAAAACTTGATCCATACTGTTTACTTGCAGATTGAAAAAGGTGTTGGTTGAGCTTCAGTCTATCCTTTCTTGCAATCATAACTAAGCTGATACCTAAATAGCTGCTTCTACTGATAGAGATTTCAAAGCTCTAGCAGGAAAAACTTCTGCCTTATGAACTCTTAATTCTTTGTTAGCTTACCCTCAGACTCAGCATGGCAGGTCTATTCTCCCTGTGTTGTGCTCCATACATACCTCCTGGGAGTCAAGAACACACATGCATGCAACAGCAGTATTCCTGTAGTTTTGTTCAATTGAATTTTCAGATTATATTAATAATAGAGGAGCAACTTCTTGTTCAACAACAAGTGCATCCTCTGTGTGTGTCTAGAATGAATAGATAAATTCTCTTAAAATTCAAGAGTGTAAGTCTCTAGAATGAAACTTGTTTCTCTACACTCTGATGAAAAATCATGGCTCACAATGAGTTAGTGAGATTTTTATTATATCACCAAGCTTAGATTGTTTTACTTTTCTTCAATAAAACTAAAATATTTCCCTGAAGCTGAACAATGAACTCATAGGTAGAATGTTCTCCTGGTTTCTCTGCTAGAAGACATACTGTTTTAGATTGTCATCACCTTAGTTAGAAACATAGGCAGATTTTGAGCCCTGTTCGCAATATACCCAGCTGTACCCTTACAGTCACACCCAAGTTCCTATCAAAGATGGTTCTAGAGGTAAATCTGAATAAAGAAATTAGTCTCCCATTCCTTTCAAAACCATGTTTTTTTATACCAGAAGCAGTTAGCTGTCAGACTTGTCCCACCATGGTACTGTTAAGGACCTAGTCCATTTACATAATCTCCAAGCTCTTTAATGGCCCAAGTAGGAGGATAAGAAGTCTGTACAGAGTTGTCAAGACATTGATTATCCAAACATAGGCATGAGTTACCTAAAGTAAATAAATCTGCATCTCACAGAGTGTGTCACAGCAGGAGCTTTTCACAGGAACTTAAAGACCTGTAGCTGACCCCATATCACTTTCTTTAAAGCTTTACATGATTTCTGAAGTCTGTAGGCAATTAAGTTGATTTTTTTTTCCCTGTAAAACTGAGATTCTCCCTTAAGTTAAACTGGAATCAACAGGAGCAAGTGGAATATATTTATAGCCTATGAGAAATGAAGAGCTGTTTTTTTGTTTTCAACAGAAGAAAAGAGGGTTTGAGAAAGTTGGTGGGTTTTTTAAATGTGTCTATTCTGCTGCCTGTCTTCTGCCCTTTTTCCTTTGGAGTCTTTTCTTGGGCAATTCCATTGCTGAGAGAAAGCATAAGCAGCTGTGCACTTCAGCATTATCTGCTTTTCCTGGATTCAGAGATGTTAAAGCAAGCACTCATGTCTGGCCAGAGCTTTCTAACCTACAACTCCAAATGCATTAATAGGGAATGGTGATAAGAACATTTTGCGATAAACAGCTCTGGTAACTGTAGCAGTCATTTATTCCTTGCTGTACATTTTTTCTGTACAATTAAACAATTGTGACCTCTTAAATGAGAGTAGCCTGTGCAACTTGAGCTAAGGAAACTAATTGATAAGTACAAGATTAATGTGTTCACTCTTTGTCCTTTGAAATTCAGATCCTGTTTATGAAGATATGCTGAGTGAAAGTCGGAAAATGATCACTAATGAGAAAATAGATGCTTATAATGAAGCAGCTGTTCGTATTCTGAACAGCAGCTCTCGAAATTCCAAAGCTAAAGTTAAAGTGTTCAGTGTATCAAAATTGATAGCACAAGAAACTATCATGAAGTCTGCAGATGGCCTGCATCTCCCTGAATCAAGCAGAGATACAGTAAGTGTTTTTATCACTGGTCAACATTAAAAGTATTAATAGTAAAACAAGATCTGAAATGAATGTTCTGCAACTGCAATCAGTATGGATGTAATGAGGACTGCATTCATCAGGGAATTTTGTTCATAAAATTCCAGTGGGTGGGAGTCCAGTCAGTTTTATAGGGATTTTAAAAAACATAATAGCAAACACATTAGTGCATAACTATTTTAAAATTGCTGTTAATCCACTAGATCTTTTAGATCATGAGTGCAAACTTCATGCTTTCATGTGTATGAATGATTTAAGGTGGTAATGACTTGTAAAACAGTGCTGAGAAGTAAGTCTTAAATTTCCCCCTATGTGTCCAGAAAATTTGCTTTGGTAAGGAGCATGAAGAAGATAACAAACATACAGTATAGATCTCCCTGGCTGCATGGAGTGCCTCTGACTTTATTCCTTCTCTTTTACTAACCAATATGTATATGCATGCAGTGAGCCTCTCTGAGCTTTTCAGCCTGCCCTTTTTGTGAAAGAGCTCTCCCATTATGTCACTTTTGGTTCAATTTCTTTGCAGGTTTAAGTTGCTTTAAAGTACTGGATGAACTAAATGTCATCTTACCACATGTTTCAGTCTCACTGTCATGTTTTAGAGATTTACATACTGTGCCACTTTAGAACCCAAGTTTGTGATCTGTTTTTCATTTACAGACCTTCTACTAGTAGAGAGAACCCTCCTCTTCCAAGATTAGCCATTTTTGTTTACCTTTGGAAGTTTAAGTATTTTTTGTTTAGAAGAAGTGTTTTGACTGGACTGTTGAATGCAACTTGGTATATTGTGGAACTGGAAGATTTTATTTTTATAATGATAAGGGAGAATTGCATGTCTGTCAGCGTATGATGCAGAAGAAAATTTCTTTTGATGAAAATGTTAACTTTTTTATTAGAAATTAATTGCTAAAACTGTTTTTTTACAGAATGCAATGATTCTTATGAATGTCTACTGCAATAAAATAATGAAGCCCATTGATGGCTCCTGCTGCCAGCCTCAGCCTCCTCTTACTCTGATACAGAAGATAGCTTTCTGTTTCTTTACTTTGTCCATTTTTGGATATTTAATTATCAGCTTAATTCATCGGAATAATTATCGGAAGAACAAAACATGCACTGATTTGGAAAGCGGAGATGAGAAGAAACCTGCCATCAGCACACCTAATGTTTCTACTTTAGAGATGCTCTTACACTGCTTTTGCAAACTTGGTCTAATCATGACCTATTTTTATCTATGTGACAGAGCAAATCTTTTCATGAAGGAAAATAAATTTTACACACATTCATCTTTCTTCATACCAATCGTCTATATCTTGGTTTTGGGGGTATTTTACACTGAAAATACCAAAGAGGTAATGATCACATTGACATCCCACTTAAAACATTGTTTCCCAAGTTGTATGTAAAATAACCCATTTCTAAGTATTTAAAGTTAATTTTTTGAAGTCAGTATAACTCACCTGCAAAAAAATGCAGTATAATGTTTGTATAGAATTAGATGCAAAGGCTTTTTGAAGCCACATGGATTGTCACCACTTTAGTCATTTTTGCTCTTTCAAACTGGAATTGATCAGAGCTCAGCTGAAAGAGAATTTAAATCATGTTAAATCTGTGCCCACTAGACAAGACTTACAGTTGAGACCCATTTACCCATAAATTAGTTTATTGTTTGAATTTTTTCTCCTCATTTTGTAGATGTTCCTTGTTCTTTTTGGAATAGCAACACTCTTGTTTTGTTTTACATTAGACTAAAGTGTTAAATAGAGAACAGACTGATGAATGGAAGGGCTGGATGCAACTTGTTATTTTGATTTATCATATCTCTGGAGCAAGCACTGTAAGTGATTTGAATTTCTTTTACTTTTAGGGGGAATGCAATTTGTGTATGTTATTTCAAAAGAAAGATAGTGTAAATGGGCATTAGAACTGAATAGAATGAGTAAATAATGCTATTGTTTCTGTAGTTTTAAACATGGTATTAGCAGAGTTAGTTTTTATCTCTAACTGTAGATTTAATTGATAAAATCATTCTGTACATTACTTGACCAGTAAAAAAGGTTTCCTCTGTGTGGAATATTGCATTAATTTATTTTGAATTGCTAGCAACTTGAAACTGTTGAAGGTGAGATTTCAAACAGCACTTCTTAAGTCTCTCATAACTAGTAATAGAACATGGCAAGTGTAGAGCAATAAATTGAAAAAAATGATTTTAACATCAGAGGTTAGGACGCCAAAAGAGCTTAGTAAAAAATGGGACAATGTACTATAGTATTTCTTTTCTTAGTTAAATCTTATTTACTGTGATGCAGAAATAGCATAAAAGAGAGGGGGGGAAAAGGAAAGCCAAAAATATTTACGTGGACATTTATAAAAGGTACTTTATTTTTCTCAACAGTTTTTGCCTGTGTACATGCACATTCGAGTTCTGGTTGCTGCATATCTGTTTCAAACAGGTTATGGGCACTTCTCATATTTTTGGATAAAAGGGGACTTTGGTGTATACAGAGTGTGTCAGGTAAGAATATCTGCCTACAATTTTTATAAATTTGTCAGATAGCAAGATAGCCATAATATATCCATACTCTCTAAATAATGTGATATCAGATCACTTAACCAAGGTTTAAACAATAAAAATGGCTGTTGTGTCTATGCAATCTGAGGTGTTTAATTGGTAGTGTTTATCTAATACAAACTTAAACTGTATAAACGATACTTACAATGTACAAACTGCCAGTATTTACACTTCTAAATTACAAGACAAGTATTTTCTAATAAATAGCAATGGAGATTCCATTGCAGTAGCAATGTACAGTATATAGCAATAAGTAAGTAATGAGCCAGATGGGCTTCCAAAGACAGTGAACTGGAGCCTACATTTATTAATAACATATGCTGTAGTACTTTAATTTTTTTTCTAATACATATCTTGTATTGCTGTTAGGTCTTACATTGTCCTGTAACTCAGGTGCTTATTAAACGTACGTTTACAGCCTGGTGATGGCATTATCCTGGCTTTAACTGTGCTAGCCTAGGTAGCTTTTGGGGGTGAAAAAAGAGAGACTTTAATTAATTAACAGTATCCAGCAACTGGAGCACTTGGTCCCCAGCCTGGGAAGTAGTCAGATTGGATTACCCCTATTTTCGTTGCAATCTCTACCCAAGCAAGTCAGGGTAGGACAGGTCCAGAACCACATTATGAGTCTACAGTCTTACGCTGCCCTGCTGATGTTCCCTGTGCTACTTTATCCATGTTTCAATGTAAAATACATCTTTGTACAGTGCTAAAGGAACATTTCCTCATCTTTCTCAGCTTTGCCTCCCAGTTTACATATCCTCTCTCTTCTCTCCTCTGACAACCCCCAGGTTTTATTCCGTCTCAATTTCTTGGTTGTGGTACTGTGCATAGTGATGGACCGACCTTACCAATTCTACTATTTTGTGCCATTAGTCACTGTCTGGTTTATGATAATTTACGCTACCTTAGCTGTGTGGCCTCAGATTGTCCAGAAGAAAGCAAATGGTAAGATTTCTTTTTTTCTTTCTGCTATAAAACATGTATGTTATTACAATGATAACATAAAGAAATGGCATCATAGATCTCAGTCTCTTTGTTAGTCAAAATATGCTGAACAGCTGCTCACCGAAATACAGTTTGTCATAGGTGAATTAGTTCAATTGAAAAATATAACAGGTGATGACTAAACTCTGCCTCTGGTTACAGTCAGATTAGAATACTTTTTAATAGGTTTTGATCATCAGGAATGTGTTTTGCAAGAATTGTAGTTTTACTGAATGGAAATGAGAGCCATAGGTTGCACTGACTGTGCTTGCTGGGGCTGGGGCAGTGTCTGTCATGCACTTGGGGTACAATGTGAACAAGGAGTGTTTAGACTTTCTTGTTCTGTGTTGCCAAGGTGTCTGTCCAGCTTGAGCACCAATTCTGCTTTAGCTGGTGAAATAAGAACATGGGGCTTGCTATCCTAGTGTCTTAGGTTATATGAGCTATCAGAAGTATGTCTTGTTGTACAAATATTTTAAATAAAAATTGATGTGAAATCTCCGTTTGTGTGTTGCAGTTAATTGAAAAGCTGTAAAGCATGTGGTAAATGCTTATTATTTAATTTGCCTAAATTAGAACTAAAACCTTAAGGGCCTTAAATCCTCATTCCCTATTGATGGAGGAATATCCCCATTTGATAGCCTGAAGATATGACCATGAAATATAGCAAATATATACCAGGAATAGATGTTGCAAAAATACACTTAAAGAATAGTTTTACAAGCTGTCTTGAAGGCAAATATCTTCAATTTTTTTTTCTACAAAGGTACTTCTCTTCCAGAAACAGAGAAGTTACTCTTGTGTACTTTGGAGCAATAGTGTACTGTGAAACTAGAAAATCTTTCAATGATGACTTTCAGTTGTTTATGATCATGTTTACAGTTGCCAGTTTATGTGGTCGAAGAGGCAGATGATCTCTGTTGCAATGCTGAGGTTTGGGTAGAGCTTAGTATCAGCTGACAGTTTTGAAAAGTAGTTTCTCAGTCTTGTTTCAACAAGATACTTGTCCTTAATGACCTGCAGTTGTACTTTGGAAAAGCTGGTATCTCAAAGTGTAATAATATTTACTCATTTCACCTGACAAAAGGCAGGCATTTTTTTATGTATATATTTATTTACATTCGCCTAGAATAAGGACTGCCTGTGCAGAGTGTTTGGGAAAGGAGAGGTTTTAAAATAGTGGTTTTTTCTGAACACCTAAATTCTCTTCTTTATGTATTTTGTCCCTGTCTTAGACATGAGGCTTCATTTAGGCTTAATAACTTCTCAGTTGCTGAGAATGTTTATTTTAATGGCTGAAAGTAAAATTTAAATGTAGATAGTGATAAAATATTGCTGGAAATATTTGAGCATTTATTTATGAATGGATCTATTACAAAGCATAGCTACACTAAATAATTGGCTGTTATTACTTAATGTGTCCTGGGGTTTTATTTTGAAACATTAATGACGGTATAATGATTAATTTATTTCTTCCTCAGGGAACTGCCTGTGGCACTTTGGCTTACTGCTGAAACTGATTTGCTTGCTGATATGTATATATTTTCTATCATATTCTCAGGTTTGTAAATCCTGGCTATATTTATCCTTAATGACCTAAGACTATATTATTACCTGTCTCTACTTTTTGATGTGCTCATAACTTGTGTATTTGCTCCAGTATCATAAATACAGAAGAAAAAAAAATTAACCTTTTGATTTCTTCCCATAATTGAATTGGTGTAGGTGCTGGGAAAACCCACAACTGTGTGTCTTACTCATTGGTTTGTTATGTTTGACATATTTTCAATGTACTACTGTGAATATAGTAAATCTGAGGGCCTATGATTTTGGGTTTGGGGTGGGGTTTTTTTATGTGCTTAGAGTTTCTGGGTTTTGCCAGCATGCATGTGGTGATATGGTGATAATTAAGTTCTGTGTCTCTTAGAGACCTAGTGTTGGCTTTGACACCACATCAAAAGATTGGCTCTCAGGCTAAATTAGCGACTCCCTGCATGCTGTAAGTGCAGCTGACAGAAGTCAGGACACAGTTTGTCTCTCCAGGATCTTACAGAGGGGTTGTGTGGTTTTAATCCCTCACTGGTTTTCAGCCTGTTGAACTGTAGTCTTGGAGTGCATATTCCTTATCTGGAGTGCATATTCCTTATCACAACCTGTGGAATGCATATTCTTTATCACAACCTGTGGAGTGTATATTCCTTATCGCAGCCTGTTAATAGATCTCTCTCTGTGAGGAGCAGTACAAAATGGAAGGTGTGCAAATACCTTAAGGGGAGGCAAAACTCAAACTCTCTCTCATGTGAAGTTTTTTTTCTTTTCCTTTTTTCCTTTTTTTTTTTTTTTTTTGTGGGGGAAAGACTTCTAAAGAATCCTGTTGTTTTTCACCTGTTGTTTTTCTAGTGCCATGTAACTCTGAAATAAGGGTAGAATAATATTAAACATGGTATTGAATTTAATTTAGTAAATACCGTCGATGTAGTGTTGATGCTTTTTCCATGTTTATCCTTTACAGGGTGCATTTGAGAAGATATTTTCTTTTTGGCCATTGTCCAAGTGTTTTGAACTGAATGGGAATGTCTATGAATGGTGGTTTAGGTGGAAGCTGGATCGCTACGTATGTAACATTTGCATAAATTTTTACTTGTCTTTTAAATGTATGTTTTAATTTGTGGGAAGAGGGAGGGTTGTTTTCCTTCCCTCCAGAGAAAACAAGTATTTGCCCCAGTGTTTAATGAAGGACTAAGCTGCACCCACTTTGGTTTTGCAAATGTCTGTCATTATCATATTTAAAGCCTTGCTTAAAAGATGGAGGTTGATTTATTTGCTTCTGGATTAAAACAAAAATGAAGTATCTTGTCCTGGATCTGTCTTTTCTCAAAAATTTTACTGTGAAAATTTAACACCTGTAGCACTTCAGGCTGTTGAAAGACAAGGAAAATTACTGTGCTAGCTTTCTTAATAATACTTTTTGGAAGTTGTATCAGTTAAGGATATATTTATTTTAAGGTAACATATGAAACATTAAAATCAGGGTCTTGGTGCCCAAACCAGACTACTCTTGCACGTATTTTTAAATTATTTCCACTGGGAAAGTGCTTTCCTTCCAATTGTTGATCCTGCAGTGTGGGGGAATAGAACAGGGGGACTTTGCTCTTTTTTCCTTTCCTTCTTGGCAAAGGGAAGTGGAGTTTCTAAGATGGAAGCTTTTAAATGCTGAACTTAACCCTTAATGGGATTGGTCCCACCTGTGTCCCCTGGGGCCTCTGGGAGGCCAAGTCTGGGTGGCAGAGCGGTGTCACACCGGGGCTGCCCGGCAGCAGCACACCCTGCCTGGCAGCCCGCGCTCGCTGCTGGGCTCTGTGAGCACTGTGGATTGGGTGGTGCTGCTGAAGAGCAGAGCTCAAAATAAATACAGAGGGCGAGCACTGTGTGGGCCTGAAATGGCCTCATGCTGCCAGCTGATGAGAACTTGGCATAAGATTGTAAAACACTCTATTGAAGAATTGTGTCTGTGAGAGAGGGAAGCACTTGTTCTGCTTCTTGAATGTTTTCATCTGCCAGTTTGGGAGAAAGCCAGAGACTTGTGGTTTTTCCCCAGAGAAAGCTGTCAGAGTCTAGGACATCCCTCTGACTGCCCTGGCTGTCTCAGGACCCTGGCAGGGGTCTCAGAGACCTTGGCAAGAAGTTAAAAATATCTGTGGCTTCGATTTTAGCCTGTGGAAAATGCTGTCAATTTTGTATGAGGAATTACAAGTCACAAGGGTTTTAGTAGTGTGATATTTGAACTAACACAGGGTGGAAAAGTAGAAATTTGGGGTATTTTAGAATATAATTTAGGGGGTCAAGATGGAGGAATTTGGGCGTGTCCTAGCCTTCTTTTCCTTCTTCTTGTCTTCCATGTCTTGGTGTGATGGTGACACTTTTCTATTGGTTCAACGTAGAGATTCACAGTCTAACATAGGTCATAGGTATTGGTAAAGAAATTGTGGACATACACACGTAGTTCTGAGTATATAATGTGGGAGCCGCCTGAGGCTTGAGGCAGATTGCCATGGCTTCCTTTCTGGATGGACCTCAGCAGGTCAGAGAAAGAATGTTCTAGATAAGGAAAAACAAACAAACTTGAAAGAGCAATCGGACACATTCCAGGCTCCTTCTTTGGCTGCATGGGCTAGGGAAGAAAAGATCTTTACAATCTCAGGGTCACCCTGAACTTCAGAACCCCAAGAAAAATCAACAAAAGCCTTTTCAGTGGTGTCATAGATTGTAGAGGGGATAGTAGGTACTTGAAAGTTTCTTGAAATTTCATTGTTGTGTCTTTACTGCTCTCTGAAGCATTAGTAAAGGATATTTATTTGTAGGTTTTGAGTTGAGTTAAAAATGCAGTCTATGACTGTCTCGTGTAGAAAGTCTGGTTTTGTTTGCTTCAGTAAATTTGGGAAAGGACCTTTTTAAACATAGCTTTAAAACTACTTTTTCTGGTAGCATTTCTATTAAGAGTTTATACCTGAAGTATTTGTAAAAGCCATGAAATATTAATTGCGTTCTGTCTTTTGCAGGTGGTTTTTCATGGGATGCTGTTTGCTTTTATTTATCTGGCACTGCAGAAACATCAGATGATATCAGAAGGAAAAGGAGATCCTCTTTTCTCCAACAGAGTTTCAAATGTTTTATTATTTATTTCAATTGTGTCCTTTTTGGTAAGTATCTATTATATCTATATCTAGTATAATCAGGTTTGTAAATATCTGAAAAATAAGTTTTTTGAAATTGTTGTTTAGTCAGTAATATCTAAAAAACCTTGAGAAATCAATTCTTTATCTGGAGATATTTCAGCTGGGCTTTTCTGTACACTCCTATCTACTCTCTAAAATATTTCTGTTCAGTCAGACGTAGATGAAAACATCATTACTCTTTCAGTTTATTTCAAAGCTTAAAAGAAAATTGGATCATAAAAATAACATGGTAGATAACACAGCTCTTATCTCCACACTTGCTTGCTTGTTTATTTTTAATGAAAAAAGTTGTATTAAGAATTATTTGTCAGAGAAGTATTCATTAGTTGCAAAGAAGAATTTGAGAGAAACACGAAGGTTGTCATGTATTTTTTTTCTTTTAGTGTCCTGCATATTAGTGAACCAACTAATGCTAAAACAATTCAAGATATACTCTTGTTTCATTTTTATATGTACATATAATTGCTACACAGACTAATTTTTTAATATCTTTTAGACCTACTCTATTTGGGCTAGTAGCTGTAAAAACAAGACAGAGTGCAATGAGCTACATCCTTCTGTTTCTGTGGTACAGGTAATTATTAGTCCTTTTGAATACTGTGATAGACTCTAGTCTGTTCTTATTTGAGCTTTTTTAAAATATATTTGTGCTTTTGCATGGAATGTCAGATATTGAGCTTCATTCCCGTGTCTGAAAGTGAAAAAGTTAAGCAACATTAGTCAGTTTGTCATTGCCTTTAAGCACTGAAATTGCACACTGTGACTGTGGTTTGATTTATCTGGATGTCCTTAGTGTAGGTTTCATATGCACCATTTAGATCCAAACCCAGCTTTTGACTATTTGCATAACAGTGGAAAAGAGGAAAGCTGTGGAAGAGAAGAAAGATGTAGAAAAGCAGGAGTTTTGGGGGTGTATTAGAGTAGGAAGCAACCTACGGGACCCTGTAGTCACTTCCAGGCAGAGAAGAGGTGTGCCACAGAGCCATGCATGTGGTTTTCTTAAATCTAGATGTTCCACTTGCCATGTTCCCTGCCCCACTATACCCCAACTGTCTCATTCTGTGCCCTGTTTCTTTTCTCCTTATTTTGTCCTGCTCTCTTGAGGGGCAGCAAGAGTGACTTAATTTTTAATATTATTTTTTCCATCTTGACACTCTCTCTTTAAAAATTTAGGGTTAACTCAAATTTGTGGCCACCTTTATTTTAGGCTGGCATGGTGTAACATGTTTTGTGACTGTGCCTGGGGGGCATGTAGTAACACCTGTCAGCATCAAGGCCATGATTCTACTGGAGATGTAAATGTGACCTTCTATGCTGTAAGCATTTGTGTACAGTATCTTTACTTTCAATACAGCTTCGTTAAGTATAAATGGCATGAATTTTTGTTTGGTTTATATTTTTATTAGCTTTTAAAGAAATTTTAATGCATGATGCACTTCACTTAGTGTAGTGAAAATAGATACACCTTTTATGTGTTTGTTTGGCTTGTCATCCACAGTCACTTTCTTTGTTGTACTTTTTTTAAAAAAAAAAACCAAAGATTTTAGCGTTCATCCTCATCAGGAACATTCCTGGATATGTCCGATCTGTGTATAGCTCATTCTTCGCCTGGTTTGGCAAAATTTCTTTAGAGGTAAGTAGAATGACCAGAAGTACAGTGAATTAAAACTTAGAAATGTAACGTGGTGTATTGTCTAGATTGGACTATAACACAGAGAAAACATTTATTGGTTTACTAAATACCCTGCTGTCATGTTTGACCTCTTTTAGCATTATAGCTTTGGTTGCACTTTAAATTTGTGGCTGAAATAGCAGTCTCACAGTAGCAAGCTTAATTCTTGTGCTGTTTTAGGGGGTGCGGTGATTTAAGGTTGTGAGAGTGGGGATTAAATGCTTATGTATGCTGTGAGATTTATGCAGTTGGAAGATAAAAATTTAGGCCAGTTTAAGAATTTGCATTAATTATATTGACTAGTGTAGGTACACTTAGAAATGTGTTTGTCCTAGAAAGCTTTTTGAGACTAATAAAGAAATTAAAATAAGCCCCTTCTTAATGCAAGTGTTACCTTGTTCCATTGCGTGTATATTTTGAAACAGTAGGAATTCTTTTACTTCCTATTTTATTTGCTGTTTAGTGACAGTAAATGTGGCATTTTATTGTATTACTAAAATACATTTCTAGGATAAGCTCATTGCAATACAGTGTATATGGAGTACAGGATCTTGTGGGCTTTTTAAAGGATCACATTTCACATTCCAGTTCTGGGTGGGCTTTAGGTGCTGATCAGCTCCAAGGAGCTGTACATTCATCAGTAGGTGAAGCGTTCTCTCTTATTTGCAGGCATGTCAGTTCAGACCCTCACTAGAAAGACAGTAACTGAGGGAGGCAGATTCTTCCCTGCTCTGGTGGAATGTATCTAATGCTCTCCTGAGTTGTGTTTGGTTAAGGGCCAAGCAAATCCCCTGTGATTTAACAAGGTCACGGTTTTGTTTTATAGCAAAGAGAAATGGAAAACAGCTTCTAACTTAAGCAGAAACATATAATTATTACTATTGCATCCGTTGATGCAATAGTAATAATTTATGTTTCTTGGTAAGTAAAAGTATTTACATATATAAGTACTGTTAAACACTTTTTTTTTTTTCTTTTAGCTCTTCATTTGCCAATACCATATTTGGCTGGCAGCAGACACAAAGGGGATCTTGGTGCTCATTCCTGGATATCCAATGTTTAATGTTCTTGTCAGCACTTTCATATTTGTGTGCGTTGCACATGAGATTTCTCAGATCACTAATGATCTAGCACAGATTGTGGTTCCTAAAGATAACTCAACTCTGCTGAAAAGGTTGCTATGCGTAGCTGGATTTTTTTCTGGACTACACTTCTTTTCAGCAATGCAAGATCAGTCAAGGCATTAACTTGGAAACTTTCTTCAGGTTTACTTTGTGTCTGCCTGAACAAAAATTCTCAACTGGAGGTACAAGAAGACATTTAAATTAAGCGTGTGGAAAATGTATATAGTGGAAATGTACATATTTTGTGTGGAAATAGCCTTCTCAAATAATCTGAGAAACAAGAGTGCACTGTACAGAATTGCATGTGAAAAATGAGTCTTTTCTACTGGATGTTTGTTTCTGTTTACATATCTGTTGTAATGCGACATGACCCAGTGCAGTGGTTGAGCAGTATGACGGGCACATGGCGGGACTCAGCCGGCGCTGGTGAGCCCAGGACGAGGGGCTGCGCTGTTCCCGCTGTTCCAGTGCCCGCCACGCGCAGCACGCGCTGCCGTCCCCGCACCAGGCAGCGAGACAGGGCGGCTGGTTAGAAATTAGTGTTTGGGGTGGAAAGAGTAATACGTGTTATATGAAACCCTTGGTATGTGGAAGTAAGAAGTACCCATCAATTCAGTGGTTGAAGATTATATACAAGTTTACATAATGTTTTATGAGGGTTTTTTTAGAAGTTTAAGATGTGTTTAGCAAACACGAATTCTGAGACTGATTTTTTTTGTAAAGAGAATTTGGGTTTTCTTCCTAAAGTTGTTTGCTTTTTCATAAATTTTTCACAAATTAATTTAACTGTGTGTAGTTCTGTGTACAGTCACAGTGAACAAACAAATGAATAATTTTTAGAGATTCATTTCAAGATGGGAAATTTTTGGAAGACCTTTTTCAGTCAGATGGAATCCCATCATATCCACTCCATCAGATCTTAGGAAAATGGTGATCTTTGACCCTCTCCCTGTGTTTGTAGGTGACCTTGAATTAGGTCTCACTAGGGAACTAGTGCCATATTCTCTGCTGTAATAACATTTTCATTTAAGAGGATGCAAGTCAGTCAGTTGGTATCATGAGGAGCAGGGATTGAGTGGTCAACTTCGTTGCATGCAGATGGTCGAGTCTCAGAATTACAAGTGAACTGAGATTGGAGCTGTTTGGAGAAAACTTTTTTCCTATCCTTTTCAGGAGTGCCCAATATTTGTTACTTATTTTTTCCTTTACCAAAAACCTTATAATTGAAAGAAACAGTCCTTCAGTGTGGCAGTGGCAAGCTATTGTTTACATTCTACTAATCAGTGAAGTTATGGACATTTCTTGGTTAGTTGTGGGTTTGGTTCAAGTAATAGTTTGACCTCTAATTGCTTTTTAATTTTATTATTCTTCTGATTATTTGTTAGCAATCAAAAATATGAGAGCAATATTCTTTTCCAAGCATATGTGCAATTATGTATGATTATGAACAACATGAATCCTAATTTGTACCATATATACTGTCATATGTATGTTTTTGTTCTTATCCCAGGTAAAACATTGAATTCAGTCTTGCAGCCAGGAATGAATGCAAAACAAATCTATGAAAACAATTACTTCAATTTTTATTTTTTTGTGTGTGGTGGAGAACAGTTTCTTTTAAAGAATGAGCAGTCATCCATCATAAAAAAGAAACCCAAAAAACAAATCACTGACTTCCCCCAAATTCAGCAGTGTTACTAAGCCTGCCAGCTGTTTTCAGGATAGTGGAAAGATATTCAGCTGTTTGTTCTGTGTGCATATTACTTCCAATGCTTGGGAATTCAACCTCATTGATCAATACATTTGAGTGACTGAAGGAAAGAGTGTAGGTGGACACCATAGTGGGGGATAGCAAGCATACCCTTCATCTATGCCAGTATTATGAGCAACAGGGAACTGTGAGCTTGAGGGATAGTTTTTGTTTTGTTCTTCACAACATAACTGTTGTAGATATAACTCTTATTTATCTGTTGTACAGACTTGTTTAAAAGATTTATTTTTAATGTTTGAAATAATGCACTTGTTTACTATTACTGTATGTGGGATAAATATATTTTCTTTTCAAGTTATGTAAAAATATGAAGTAATTTAAACATTAAATAAAAGTGCTGTGGATGCTTATTTTTGTAATGGGACCAGCATCATTTAAGTAAAAACTCTCTATTGCTTGTCTCTAGCTGCACTGCAGTTCACTGTATCACAAACTAAGGCAGATGCAGTGCAGGAATTGCTCTGCACTACATGGAACTGTCCCTGTTCTGAGGGAATGACAACTCCAGTAGCCAAAGCCAGCCCGGCGCTCAGGGGCCCTCAGCAGAACTCCACAGTGGAGACGTCGGATACTTTTCCCTGCCAGGAACTCTGCAGCTGAGCTCTGCAGGAAAGCAGAGCAACTGACTCAGCTTTTCTTTGGTCTGGCAACCAAGAAACCAAGCCTGTCTTGAAGACTTGCTTGAGTTAAGGAATTTAGATTCACTCTCAGTAGAAGGGGATCCTTAAGCAAAGGAAGCACCAATCTCTTTAATCTTGTGACCAATGACAAGACACAAGGAAATGGCCTAAAGTTGTGTCAGGAGGTTCAGGTTGGCTATCAGAAAAGGTTCTTCACCCAGAGGGTGGTTGAACAGGCTCCCCAGAGAAGCAGTCACAGCACCAAAGCTGCCAGAGTCCAAGAAGCATTTGGACAATGCTCTCAGGCACGGTGTGTGACTTTTAGGGATGGTCCTGTGCAGGGCTGGGAGCTGGACTCAATGATCTTGATGAGTCCCTTTCCCAACTCAGCATGTTCTGTGATCCTGAAAGCTCCTGATTTTATAATCAGGGAGATATATAGTTCAGGTGCCCACTTTAGATATTAAGTGCAGCAAATCCTCTCCCTCCTCTCCAGTTAGGACATTGTTTAGGCATCGTCCCCAGCTAAACAAACCCTGCACCATTAGTTCCAGCCCAGGTCTCAGACCCAGCCATGCAGTATCGTGGCTGGGACATTAAAAGCTGTAGCCATGTTGTTCAGGCACCTTTTTGTAAAATAATCAGGCAGCAACTTCACTACTTTGTGTTTTCAGTTTTATTACATTATACATTTCATGTATGTACAAAGAGAGGTGTAGGGCTTTCTGTTTAATTTGGTTGCAACTTAATACAATATCCATTCATATTGCCATCATGTAATGTTAAAAGAGGCTGTAAACTTACTGTCTTAATTATTACTAATTCTTTAGCCATTAAGTGTCTTTAACCAGCTTTATAAATCTATGCTTTCAGAATAATTGTTTTAATAAGTAAAAATAAATAATTTTTTAGTAAACTTACCTCAGATAAATGAAGATTTCAATCATAAAATAGTTCAGGTATTCTTAATACCCAAGTGACTTACATTATTAGATTATTTCCAAAATAGGTGGAGCCTGCACTGCTACAAATTCTTTATGCATGTATGTAACTTTTTATTTTCTTAAATATATTGGCACTGTTACATTAATACAAATAAGGTGGGAGCAGCTCAGCTGGTAGATCCATTGATTGTCATGTCATCCTGGAATTACCAGAAATTACTATCATTCATACCCAGAACTATTTACAAAGTTTAATCTTACATGGCATTAAAAATCATTATTTAAAATCCATTCCATTCATTTTGGTTTCAAAACACTGACAGCTGATACATCTGAAAATAGTAGTATAAACTAATAGAAACCAAATGCTGATTGTACTTGAAATTTTTTTACAGCTCGAAAATGAAAATGTTTAATTTACTATAAGCCTCAGTGTGCAGTTTAGTGATTTGCCTTTCATTTATATCCATCCAACCTGCTGGAAAGGAGTGGGGGGGGTGTCTCTGAGGAGGCTGATTGACTGGTGAAGTCTCCTGCTACCTTGGATGAGGTAGGAAGGCATGATGGATGCCACTCGAAAAGTGAGTAGGAATGGCTCTTTATTCCACCTGTTTCAGGAACTGCCTTTAATTTCTCAACTTGAATGCCTGTAGCTTGAGCTACCTCTCCTGGTCTAACAGCCACCAGCAGGATTTGCTGCCATGTCCTGTGGGCTGTGCTGAGCATGCAGAGCAGCTCTGTAAACTGATACTGAAAGTTTGTCAATACACAAGTAGGTACCGCGTACTGAATACTGCTTATCTACTCTGCTGCCATAGTTATCATAGTTGGTGCTCAAAATTAGTCTAAAAAGCAGCTCAGGACTTGTTCTGTCTGCTGAAATCCTGCATTCAGGTCCGAGCCTACAAACACATCATTGATGCTTAAAAATTAATGTAAATTAAGGTTCTGTGTTTTGACAGAACTGGGTCATAACTGTAAAAAGAAAAAAACAAAGACAAACAAACCAAAAAACACAAAACCAACAGGAACTACTTTGGTCTTTTTACAAAATGACCTCTTTTTACAGATTCCTTTTATCCTCAGTCTTAAATTCCAAAATTACTCAAATTTCTCTTAGCAGAGACTTCAGGAACCTCAGCTAAGGAAATGTAGCCAGCACTTAGCAATTTTAAAGCAGACGCAGTTTTCTGCTTACAGTGCAATGTCCTGATGAGCATACAGCTTCTGAAAGAGAAAATATTACAGAAAAAAGACAAGGTGTAAGTGTCAGCTTAAAACAATGCCATGCTTTGAGGTAAAACCCCAAGAACTCTTGGTGTCAGCTGTTACAGCTGCAGACCCTGAAGTCCTGTGTGATGTCCTTAAATTGAAGATTTAAAGAAGCATCAGAAATTCATTTAAAAGCTGGTGAAGAGTGTCAGTAGATGAATAGTTGTCTATTGAAAAACATGGAAACCCCAGTTCAGATCCTTTTAGCAAAGTCCATATATTATTAAGCTTTCAGCTGCATGGACAAATGCCTCTCAAAGAAATCACTTCCCAGCAAAGTATGTGTTTAATTAAGTCCTTTTTAAGATGTGAAAATATAATCCCTGGTTTATTAGATATGTAACTCTCCCAAAACAGTCTGCGCTTCAAAATTTAAAAAAAAATGTGGTGGATATAAAAAATTAACAGCATTGGGGCTCTTTATTATGAATACCACAAAAAAAGAGTGTTTTTAAAGAGTTAGTCCAGGTATACTGTACCAAATTATACCATTGCTTATTTGCAGACATGAATTTTTGCCTAAAATAGTTTGTAGCAGTTTCTTCTAACATAACCAGGTGAATGAATGGAGAGATTTTAAATGCTTTATTGCTTACAAGTATTGAAATAGCTTAAATATCTGTTAAAAGAACAAAAACCTAATTTTTATAATGGGAAGTTTTAGTTATTTTCTCTGGGGGGTTATTTCTTTATTTATTTTCCAAAAATAACTTTGCTCATTATATTTGGTAATCTCTAAAAAATTAATACCTAATATATGTGCAGTACTATTTCTGAGCCTCATCATGTGGCACAAGATTTCATACTTCTACTCTACTGCTTTTCCTGTGCAAATGTTAGGCAATTATATCATCCCATTAACAGTCTGAAATCCTTTCAATCTCTGAAGTTTTGATTTTCCTGTTAGAACTTTCAGGCGAGATCACAAGACAGAATAAAGCTTGATATTTATTAATACATATATATATACATATATATATACATACATACTTGTATATATATGTATGCATATATATACATTAAAGATTACTTCCTGAATGTAACAAATATAAAAAGTTATCAGTGTTTACAAATTGTCAAAAATGTCCAAAGTACAAAAGGATACAGTACATCAGTTATATGGAAGTGATTGTACTCCTGGCACTGAAAGCATCATAATACTGTGGGCATGCACAATATACACCAGAAAAACACATGCATCAACCAGAACAAATAAGGAAGTAAGACAATTTGCTGCCTTCTTCGATTACAAATTCATTGCTTCTGTTAGTTTTCTTTCCTCAGGAATACCATTTACCTGCAAAAGAGATGAGAATTTATATAATCCACCAGTGACACATGATGCTTCAACAATTCAACAGTACTGAATTGTCAACTATGAGCACAGCACATAAACAGTATTTATTATTCCTTTATCAACAGCCACACTGGAGAAACACTACAAGTACAACCTGGATCAAAAGACAACATATACATGACAAAGCATTCTTCTGGGAAGGGAGAGGGCTGGGAAAATATTGTTTAGCTAGAAATTTATCTTTCTATTTGGGATCTAACAGACTTCATAGGGAGGCTGAGGCACAAACCAGAAAAGGTGGTACATGGTGTACATGCAATATTTAGTCCTTCATGTTATAGGAATACCCTATAAGCTTTTTCATCTAAGCACCTTAAACAGTCATTGTGAATTCTGCCCTTTGACAGAGAGACAATTATAAAACCTAATATATCTGTTCATATTGGAGACCAGTAGCAATTTTCATCACTGTAATAAACATTAGATGTGAGTGGTCACCTCTCAAACAATTCTTTCCCAATTCACTTTTAACTTTGTGAAATAGTCAAGTATGTCAGCTATTAAGTCTGCCTTTTTATATAAGGTTAAAATAAAACTATTCATTACAGGGGATTCAGATAGTTCCTGAAGTGGACAACAGTTATTATCCATGGTCTGCTCTTCAAATTATTAAATACGGACTACTAAATATTTAAAATAGAAATTTCTTATTCACAGCTGTGATTGATAGTATGTTAAATTCCCTGAGTATATTACTGTTAGTTTTCTATAAGAAAGGAAGAGAATTTAACAATTATTGTCTCATTCTATAGGTTTTTTGGCCTTAGGTGTTCTGTTTCTCTAAATGTCTTACTTGAACAGATCAATAAAATTGATTGCTAAGTTTGTACTCATGCTATTAAAAAACTCTTAGTAGTGCCTGAATTTTGTTTTAAATCGTAACTTTCTAAAAATCTAACATTCTGGCAACAGGAGTTATGGATATCCTTTCAGAAAAGCTGCAAAAGGCACATGCCATCATGTCATGGAAGTGCTTGCAGGGTCACCTGTACATCTGAGCTACAGAGCAAGGTGTCATTATAAACCAAGGGAAGAGGAGGAAACACCCTCTGTCCCAAATACATTCCACTACCCACCCCCGCTGGATTTCTGAGAGCTTGTCACAGGCAGCATCTGTGACGAATATGAAAGAACAGTTGTATTCTACAAAAATAATG